GGACTGTAATTTATTCAAGGGGTAATTATGGATGACTGACCCGCCGCCGATTTTTCGTAGAAGACGTATTAAAAATGCTGCAATTTCACCGTGTTTTACAGTGGACACTGTTGTAGTTTTGGCAAATGTGTTAAAAAGTGGTTATTTCAAAATTAAACCTAACCTAAACTAACCTTAGTTGATATGAAAAACAAGCAGCAAAAGTATTGTTAGAAGACCTCACCAACCTAACTGCACTGATAATGAAAAAGCGAAGGTTTTCTAAAAAAAAATCAATCTCGCTAAAAACTAAAACGTGATTTAAGGAGACAATTGAAATAATAAAAGTGGACCAAGACTCATAACTCCCAACTCTGAGAGGAGGATCAAACTGACGCCATAAACGTACATACTTGCCTTATATGACGGCAGGTTTGTCGTCGTCTTCTGATTGGTCACTGTAAGGTCCAATAGGGAGCCAGACACCGAGTTTGAGTTATTGCGGCCGTAAAACTTCTTGTAGCCGTTCATAGCTTTGGCAACACTATATACACTGCAACACCCTGCCGTCATAAACCCATATACAACGATCACATTTATACATTTACTTATCGGTCAAAATCAATCCTTTAAAAACGTTTGTCCTAACAAGGTCAGTTTAGAGCCTTTTGTGTCTTCTATACACAGATAAACACACTATTAACGTCTCCTATACACACATAAACACACTATTAACGTCTCCTATACACAGATAAACACACTATTAACGTCTCCTATACACACACAGACACACTATTAACGTCTCCTATACACACACAGATACACTATTAACGTCTCCTATACACAGATAAACACACTATTAACGTCTCCTATACACACACAGACACACTATTAACGTCTCCTATACACACATAAACACACTATTAACGTCTCCTATACACAGATAAACACACTATTAACGTCTCCTATACACACACAGACACACTATTAACACGTCTCCTATACACACATAGAACACTTAACGTCTATACACAGATAAACACACTATTAACGTCTCCACACACAGACACACTATTAACGTCTCCTATACACACATAAACACACTATTAACGTCTCCTATACACACATAAACACACTATTAACGTCTCCTATACACACATAAACACACTATTAACGTCTCCTATACACAGATAAACACACTATTAACGTCTCCTATACACACATAAACACACTATTAACGTCTCCTATAAATACATAAACACACTATTAACGTCTCCTATACACCCTGGATCCGTGAAACAGTATCGTTCCATCTTTGTACCGTAAAGAAATCTAGTGACTTATTTATTACTTTAAATAACAAACAGGAAAAATACTTAATTATTCATTGACTACAGTACTCTTATTATTCACGTACTTAATTTCTTGTTTATTATTGCTTTCATTCTCTGTTTGTCTGTCTGTCTGTCTGTCTGTCTGTCTGTCTATCTATCGTAACAGAAAAGTTTTATATCCCGATATTCATAAAATAATATCGAAAAAAAAAATCATATTTCAACTTGAAGAAAATATCTGGTTGAAGACGGTGAGGAAATTCCTTTTTTTTAAGTAAAGGGAAAAAAAATCTCTTTCTTATTTCACGTTTGTTTTGTTTGGATATTTTGTGGGAATTTTATGATGTGTTCAATGATACGAATGATGGAGGAGACAAGACCCCCACACACACACACACATACACAGACACACACACACATACACACACACTGCTAACAGATATACATAGCTCTCCTCTCTCCCTCCTGCCACTGCCCCTCCACGTCTGTTCATCTCTACTGTAGGTGATTTACAATACGTTTTCCGATGGAGCCATTCCACGATTTCTGTTTGCGTTAGAGACCAATGCCTGTCATACCTGGGTGACTGATGGTTATTATTTTATTCTATTTTCACGTGTGGGATTTTTTTTTAGCTCTCCTGATAATACGGATGAAATTGATTATTTTTTATTTTTATTTGTTTTAATTTTGATCAGGTTAATCTATCTTGTGTCGGCACGGGTGGAAGGGTGGGGATGGGATGGGGTGACCTACAGATTAGCCCCCCAGCTTATTTCACCTTAATATTAAACTCCCTAAATGCCAATAACAAGCTGGAGGTGTGTTAACCAATCAACGAATCAGACAACAGAAGAAGAATTTACGTCACTAATCACTCGGTATCAAACGTGACGTCACACTAGTTGGTCAACAGGTTACCCCCAAAAGTGTATTACGTCATTGATGTTGAGCCAACGTCCTTCCTCTCATTCAGTCAATAGTGGAGCACGCATGGCTCTTCTGGCCAATCGCGTGGCTCGACACAGTGTAGGTGTGAGGAAGGTGGTGATTGGTTGTCTGGGGTGCCTGTGGTGAGTGAAACAACCACTCAGCATGACCTCTCAAGGACGGGCTTCCCACACATCTATACATAGTATCACCATCACATATATACTGTAGATGAATATGTATATTTACATTTATAGGCGGATATTTACGTACATACTGTATATATTTACGTGTGTATATATATATATATAAATCGACACATATATCTAAGACGTAATTTCATATTATTACCAGTCATATAAATTTCCATCCAAATTCTCTTTCAGGAAATTTAATCTAACACAAACCTCGAGAAAAATCCCATAATTTTTAATATGAAAACTTCCGTCAATTATTTACCTGTTAATTTATGTTTTAAAAAGATAAATTATTGAGTTTCTTGTTTCAATTACCACCTCGAGTATTATTACTATTGTATAATTTGTATTTGTTTCATAAAAAAATAAATAAATTGGTTTTATACAGGGTGTCCCATCTTCACAGTTGGTTCACTCGGCAGGTGTTGTACTGTACACCTCTGTCAACTAACTTTTGAGGATACTGTATTGCTTGAGACGCATGTGTTACTTGCATGAAGAGACACATAATGTCTCATGTGGTTTTTGGTATAAGACACATGATATGAAATATGTCTTTTGTATAGCACATTTTAAGATATACAATATTTTTATACAAGACTCCCTACAAGTATGTATTTTATGAATCGTATTTTTATATAAAGACATTCGTAGGACACATATTTTTATTATGATGTGTTTTTTGTATAAGACATCACGGAACAGTTACCAAGTACATATTATTTTACGCTCGTCAAACTCTGTACTCCACATCCTGAACACAATAATACATCAGACCCCCGAGGTAGCAGCCTGCATGACGGTAGTGTAGAAGGGGATGTCTTAGTGCTGTATCGTTATAGATATTTGTGAATGAAAAAAAAATAATTAAACCCCTTTAGAATGATGGTTTAACTCCTTGATATTCATAGAGCTTTAATTATGGTCTTCAAAGGGTTAAAACTTAAACCATCGTTCTTAATGGGTTACATATACCTTAAACCATCGTTCTTAATGGGTTACATATATACTTAAACCATCGTTCTTAAATAATAAATACAACTTAGAATGGGCTACAGACAGCCACCTCATGTAGTCAATAATAAATGGTGTAACTCACAAGACTGAAGTAGAATTAGTTTGTGTTAAGTCTGTCTGCCTGTATCTACACGGCACCCACTCGTAGATGTCTGTGGAGGAAAACAAAATATTATTATACTATGCCAAGACATAACAGGTGATGGTGTTACCTGGTTGATAACATTACAGGTGATGGTGTTACCTGGTTGATAACATAACAGGTGATGGTGTTACCTGGTTGATAACATTACAGGTGATAGTGTTACCTGGTTGATAACATTACAGGTGATGGTGTTACCTGGTTGATAACATAACAGGTAATGGTGTTACCTGGTTGATAACATAACAGGTAATGGTGTTACCTGGTTGATAACATAACAGGTGATAGTGTTACCTGGTTGATAACATAACAGGTGATGGTGTTACCTGGTAGAATAAAATTGACTGAGAAAAAATACAACTTTACTCACGAATAAACCATTTCAATATCTTGGTTTATTTCAGGTTTATAATTTTTTTGAATTGATACAAATATATAATACAACACAACACAATACAATAAAATACAATACGATTACTACACTACACTACACTACACTACACTACACTTAACTCTCTCTTAAAACATCACCTGTGTAATTAGGCCACAGGTATACTATTTAGAATGTTTATGAACGACTAATTACTTGACATTCACACTTGTTCTATAAATCAAGAATTCTATTGAGGGATTTTTTTCTGTAAATTATGTAAAAAAAAAAATCAAAGGAGTTTGTGTTACTGTTAATTACTGTATGGGACTTATGACTTTCTTGCTCAGACTCATGTTCGTTCTTTCTTTCTTTCTTTCTTTCTTTCTTTCTTTCTTTCTGTTATATCTTACAAGTGACTCAAGAACTCTCTCACTCTCTCTCTCTCTCTTCTGGATCATAACTCCCGCTGGTGGTAATGTTCCTACAACTTGTGAAAAACTTTTAGCTCTTTCTCACTCGACTGACTGACGTGTTCCCTGCCCCCTCTCTCTCTCTATTACCCTGAGTGACGCTGATTGGGACGCTGTAAACTAACCTCAATCCCGCTAAGAAAGAATCACATTAACGGGCAGGAGTAAATTAACACAGAGGAAGAGAGAGGAATATGTATAAATTATCTTGAAAATGACACAAAAAAACCTACAAGATATTCAGGACTAAACGCTAGAAAAATTAAGATAAACAAACAAATCGTAATTCAAATTTTGACTTTAGTTGAGAAATCAATTGAGAGGTGGAAAGGTTAGGTTATTATTAATGATATTAACTGAATACATATTAACGATGATTTTTCCGTTTAACACTTACTCCTAAACCTTCAATTTCAACCATAAATATTGATCCTAACATTAATAGTAACTCCCGATGTCGTTAACTGCAGATTGACCAAACAGCTTACCCAAGTCCACACTTATTGAGGCAGTTTCTTCGTTCCTGAGTTAAGATCTGTTTCCTCGTCTCCTCTATAGGCCATTCAGAGTCCCACCCGTTCAGAGAAGGAGGAACTCGGGGCCCTTACGTCAACCCCACCAGGAGGAGACGCCATCCAGGCCAGCGTTGCTAAACCAGGCGACGGCGTGGGGGAGGAACGCGAGTCATGGGACAGCAAGTGGCAGTACCTCCTGGCTGTCATCGGCTATGCTGTCGGTCTTGGTTCAGTGTGGCGGTTCCCTTATCTCTGCCAGAAGAACGGAGGAGGTGAGTAGCCCCTTATAATCACCTACATTCATTACCTTCATTAAAATTCTGTAATATTCTGTATCTGTATGGCGCGAATGGAACTCCTGTAGACCATTACAGTAAACAGCAAGGAGGGGAGGGGAGGGGGGAACTACTACAATGTGAATGAAACTCCTGCACGTCGTTACAGTAAACAAGGAGGAGGAGGAGAAGAGAGGGTAGGGGAGGGGAGGGGAGGGGACTGCTACAATGTGTTTCCTTAACAACACTCAATATTGGACTGTATCTAGTGTTCGTGAGCGGAGATTCAAGGTAGTCACGGCAGGCTGGTGGTACAGAGACTCTCCCGGCTGTGAAAAACAACAGCATCGTATTGTTCTGTTCTTTCTTTGTAGAGCCAACTTGGTTAGGTTAAGGTAGGTTAGGTTGCAGTAGATTAGAGCAGGTTGCAATAGGTTAGGTTAGGTAAGGTAGGCAGGCAGGTGTAAGAACACTCAGGTGTATGATCAGAACCACAAGAGCCAAGCACACAAGTCACTATCTGGCCGCCGGGCGCCCACCAGCTTACTGTACAGACACCCCGGGGTCACTCTCACACACGGTCACTCACTTTCAGGCATGGTCACTCTCTTTTAGGCATGCCTGAATGCTAGTGATCATTTCTAGAAGTGAGTGACCACGTCTTAAGGCCAGCCACCGCCAGACCCACCTCTAAAAAGAGAGAACCTTAGGACTCAGGGTCGATATCCACGCTCTCTCTCTGTCGTGTGTGTGTGTGTGTGTGTGTGTGTGTGTGTGTGTGTGTGTGTGTGTGCAGAAATAATTTAATAAATGAAAGAATCCGTGTAGATGAAGGGTTAACTCATTGTATCCAAAAGGTTATGTAATCGTCTACCTGTGTGTTGCCTACATTCAACCCCACCTCCGGAAGGTCACTCACTACGCCATTCTGTTTCCATCCATCCACTCTACGTTCTCATGTACACTGAGAACTCTTCCTCGCCAGTGAGGGTAAACAGATACAGTATGAACGCTGCCGCAACCACACAGTGAGGTGCTTGGCCTTCAGGGGAACAATGACCAGTCTAGCAGCAGTTACTAAGCAACAGGTAGGCAAGGCGTGGCCCACACGAACAGTCTCAGCAACAGGTAGGAAAGGCGTGGCCCACACGAACAGTCTCAGCAACAGGTAGGCAAGGCGTGGCCCACACGACCAGTCTCAGCAACAGGTAGGAAAGGCGTGGCCCACACGACCAGTCTCAGCAACAGGTAGGAAAGGCGTGGCCCACACGAACAGTCTCAGCAACAGGTAGGAAAGGCGTGGCCCACACGACCAGTCTCAGCAACAGGTAGGAAAGGCGTGGCCCACACGACCAGTCTCAGCAACAGGTAAGAAAGGCGTGGCCCACACGACCGGTCTCAGCAACAGGTCGGAAAGGCGTGGCCCACACGACCAGTCTCAGCAACAGGTAGCCCTCCAGGGCGTGGTCAGGGAGACCATTCTGAGCAACAGGTAGCCCGTCCCCCTGGGGGTCTGGAGGCTAATAGAAAATGCAAGGTATTTTCTGGCACTCTGCTCACTCATAAACTCGTCATTGTAAAGAGCCTCCCAGGAGACCCTGCGAGTGCTGACCCTGAGAGTGTGTGGCCTCCCCCAGACTGATGACCACCAGGAGAGTTTTTCGTGGAATTCAATGATCCTGTAAGAGGCTGCCCCGATGAGTCACGGACCTTCCAGTGTTGGTAGTGTGTGTTGATGTTTATATTGAATCAACGCTGTGATAAGTAGCTGTACTGACCGAGTTTATCAGTGTTTTTCACTCTCTCTTATACTGTACAGTTATTACATGTGTGACTGATCAGTAATAGAGTGGACGAAAATTACCAATTAGTCACATAAATTTTGAGAACAAAGACAGATCACACCTGGGAACACACACACCTAGAGTACTACCACCTGGAACACACCTGAAATTCCACACACACTTGAACACACACCTGGGTACACACTAGATACACACACCTGGAATACCTACCTGGGTACACACACCTGGAACACACACCTGGGGTACACACACAGGTACACACACCTGGGTACACACACCTGGGGTACCACACACCTGGGTACACACACCTGCCAGTACACACACCTGGGGTACACACGGATGATGGAAACCATTTTACCTCGTCCTATGTGATGATAGAGACTGAGGACCTGGGCTTCACTAGGGACCTGGGCTTCACAAAGGGACCTGGGCTTCACTAGGGACCTGGAGGCACTAGGACCTGGGCTTCACAAGGACCTGGAAGCCACTAGGGACCTGGGCTTCACTAGGGGACCTGGGCTACACTAGGGACCTGGGCTTCACTAGGGACCTGGGCTCCTGAGGGACCTGGGCTTCACTAGGGACCTGGGCCACTGGGACCTGGGCTACTGGGGACCTGGGCTACTAGGGACCTGGGCTTCACTGGGGACCTGGGCTTCCACTAGGGACCTGGAGCTTCACTGGGACCTGGGCTTCACACTGGGGACCTGGGCTTCACTAGGGGACCACTGGGCTTCTAGAGGGACCTGGGCTTCACAAGGGACCTGGGCTTCACTAGGGACCTGGGCTTCACTAGGGACCTAAAATCGACCTTTGACCTTCTTGTGACCCTGACCTGCAATACTCATTACTTTGTGACGATACTTGATAATGAGATTAACTTCCAAGTTTGAAGTAAATCCGACTGAAATTGAATGAGTAGTTACTTAACGGACGGACGGGAGGACGGACGGGAGGACGGACAGGAGGGCGGACAGGAGGACAGACGGGAGGACAAACACAGGCATAACCCCCCCCCCACCTATAACGTGGATTCCAAGTCAGTCTCCAGGTTCAGAAAAGACCTAATCAATTCAGGTTTATAAGTATCTGAATATTTAAACACCTCGATGCTACAGCGTGTTGACCTAGAGGAGACACGAGACAGATCAGGACGCTCTTCGTTGGCTACAGAGGGGATCTGAGTACACATTGTGATATAGCGAGAATAAGAAGATCTGGATATACTGGGATAGAGAGTTGAGTGAGTGAGAGTCTCTGAGAGCCTATCGTTGATCGTTGGAGACTTAAGCAAGACCAGGAAGGCCTCAGTGCTCAGTATGGGGTCTGTAAACTGACTTTATAACACCGGTAGGAGGAAGAGGAGGTGGGGGAGAAGAAGGGGGTGGAGGAGGAGGAGGAGGAAGAGAAAGGGGATGAGGAGGAGGAGGAGGAGCTTCAATACTCTTCTCTGGTTAAATTCAAAATTAACCTTTTTGAGAGAGAGAGAGAGAGAGAGAGAGAGAGAGAGAGAGAGAACGACCCACTGTGTCATGTTATTCCACCAAGAGAGATGAGTTGGTGTCATACGTGGTATCACTTCACGCCCCAATGGACACACTGTTCACCTGACACATACACACACACAGACAGACACATGCACACACACAGATACACAGACAGACAGACACACACACACACACGTGGGGAAAGGGTTGTGGTTGGAGGTTGGTGGTGGTTAAGGTAGTTATTGACGGGGGGTGGGGATGGTTGAGGTGGGTAGGCTGTGTCACCTTGGGGAGGGCAAATAGTGAAGTCGACTCGGCTATCGACCGTGTGACGCCGAGGTGCACTTGCCGGGGTGTCGGGGAGGGTGTATGTGTGTCGGGGAGGGTGTATGTGTGTCGGGGAGGGTGTATGTGTGTCGGGGAGGTGTATGTGGGGAGGTGTATGTGTGTCAGGGAGGGTGTATGTGTGTCAGGGAGGTGGATGTGTGTCAGGGGAGGGGTGTATGTGTGTCGGGGAGGGTGTATGTGTGTCAGGGAGGGTGTATGTGTCAGGGAGGTGTATGTGTGTCAGGAGGGTGTATGTGTGTGGGGAGGGTGTATGTGTGTCGGGGAGGGTGTATGTGTGTCGGGGAGGGTGTATGTGTGTGGGGTGGGAAGAGGGTGCGTGTGTTTTTGCGTGTGGGGGGGAAGGGAGGAGAAAGGTTGGATTGCATATGTAATTGTGTGTGTGTGTGTGTGTGTTACGAATTAGTATATATATATATATATATATATATATATATATATATATATATATATATATATATATATATATATATATATATATATATATATATATATATATATAAAAATAAAAGTAAAGTGGAAAACAAGGCGAGAGGAGAGAGAGAGAGAGAGAGAGAGAGAGAGAGAGAGAGAGAGAGAGAGAGAGAGAGAGAGAGAGAGAGAGAGAATTACTCAGGGCACGCCAACAAGGTCGCTCGATGGTTCCTTGTCCCAAATAATCAATGGATTATAAGAGAAAGAGCCTAAAATTTTATCTCACCTGGGCCAGACGCGGTGTTGCAGTGACTCGTTCATGCGGCCGATAATACCTAATCAATGTACCTGACATGACATAAGAGGTAAAATTAGTCGTCCTGAAGAGAAATTTTATCCCAGATAAACTGAAGCTGTTTACATAATTGACTGATTTAATGAAGGATGTGATGTAGGTAATAAATTATCTAACGAGGTCATTTATGAAGTGTGCGTTTGATTAGTTAACACACACACAGGTAGTTAATGACAGGTGTGGTCACATGTACAGTTGAAGACACAATATCCTGGACACTTTTTGGCACTGTCTGGCACCACCATCACACCTCAGTAGAGTCTCAGTGCAATTTGGAAGCCATTTTGGACCCTTGTGGTGTAACTTAAGTGAGATTAATTCTAAGGTGATCTTAGGTTATCTTGTTACGAGGAAAATTACCACTCAAGAGACTCTGGGAATCAGGTCGGGAATTTACCCCTATAGGGATTAGGTCAAGGTGGTGGGCTACTGAGGCGGGGAGGGGGGGAGGTGTTCCTATCTCTCTCTCTCTCTCTCTCTCTCTCTCTCATAACAATATCTCACGCCCAGAAGCTCCCGTCGCCCACTTTCGGAAATAGAACATCTCCCCGGGCTGAAGATAATGGTGGGTGATGGGGTGATGGGTTAGTG